TTGACGGTCTCAAATAGACTCATCCAATAGCTACTAAAAATTCCTCTCAAAATCATTCACATTGTATCGCGTCTTTAGGCATAGGTTACCCCTAGTATATTAATATATCAAAATGTACACACATATATTAATATACCAAAATGCACACATATATTAATATATCAAAATACACACACTAATACACCAAAGTAGGTCGAGGTCTTCTCTGGTGTATGTGTGTGTTTTGGTGTATTAGTGTATGTCTATATGTATATTTGGTATATTAGTGTGTATATGAATTTTGGTGTACTAGCGTATGTGTGTATTTTTTGATATATTAGTGTGTATGTGAGTTTTAGTGTATTAATATGTGTATGTTTTAGTATACTAATGTTTGTGTGTTTGTGTATGTGTTTTTGTTTTTTTATGTATTAATATACATGTGTGCATTTTTTTGGTGTATTATTGTGTGCGCATTTTGATGTACTAGTGTGTATTTTTTTTTTGGCACTTACAACCATGGATTTGCCATGAAAGTACCGATAAAGTTTAAGTCACATTTTTCTCATCAGATCCATGTTTGTTTTCGAACTGTTAAATTGTAGTAGAGGGGAAAGGTCAGCATCTTCTAAAGGTAGCTAGGACTCTTAGATTTCAAGCACATCTTCCACTCTTCTTTTGGGGAGATTGTGTCTTAACAACAGTTTATCTTATCAATCACATTCCTACTCCTCTTCTTGCAGGCCAATCACCTCATGAAAAACTAACTGCAACTATTCTCAACACGAACCCCATTTTTGCTAACTGAAGATCTGAATTCTATGCCTTTCTTCCAGTACACAGCTTCCACTGGTGAACGCACCCAAAGATTCACTCGGCTAGTACTGAGAATTATAGATTGTACAAAGTAAGCAATGTGTAATGGATCTCTATACACAAACTTTAATTGGAAACTACCAAAGCGAAAATAAAAGAGTTACTGTCTAGAGAGGCTGCGCCTTCTCCCAGTCCAGCATTCTTCTACTTCTAGTCGACTGTTCCGTGATGGGCTTTCCCTGTTTCTTGGGCTCTGCTCGCCTTTTGGTTGAATTCACAGTCTATGTAACTTCAGATTAATAGGCATCAGTAAGGTGTGCTTTGAATCATATATAATGAATCAAAGGCATATGCAATAAGACATGGTTATCTCAATCAAGTAGTGAACAAATTTTGAGGCCAAAACAATCAGCTATCCTAGAAAGTTATTTTCCTCCTAAATCACAATAATACAATCAGACAGCTCTATGATTCAAAACTACATAAGCTCTCCTAAAGTAGGAGCTCCACAATCAGGAAAACTCTTCCTCTTCATCGACAAAAACCCGAAAGTTGAACTTGGAGCCTGCATAAGATCCAGTGTCACATGTCCTTCACCTTCACTGAAACGGTCCCAGTTGATCGTTTCAGGGAACATATGGTGCTGGTTAGGCATAACAGAAGTTGACCCGTTTTTGGGTCCATTTATGTCCTCCATGGGATGATTGTGCCAATGCAAGTCTCTAGTAAAGATGGCTGCACGATGCTCTGCAATGAGCTCATGCAGTGCAGCACTGCATCTTGAGGAGAGGTCGGCTGATGTGGTCCAGGAGTCGTCGTTCCTTGTTGACAGAAGAGAGAGAGCACGCCCTGTCGGCGTTGATAAGTATGGATATCTACCAGCCATCAGTTTATGATCTGTTGAGAATTGAAAATACATGGTTTAGATCTTTCAACTGTTCAGAATTATGTAACGCACAAAGTCAAAAAGGTGTTGTATGATTGGAACCAACTCTATAAAATATTTAAAATGCATTATTTTATGATTCAAGGCCGTGGCTATTTGATTTAGAAGGTAGTGAGACGCATTGGTCACAAAATAACACACGAAATGCAAGATTGAAATAGAAGTTGAACATAAATATAGCTAGATTCATTCAACAAAAACGGAGGTTTACGCATTATAAACCCAAAATCTGGCTAAAGATCCACGTATTGATTAAAAAAAAAAGAGGGTACTTGATTTTTGTGAGGGGCTTCCCGCAGTGAAACCAGTGAAGTTCAGTCCATGAATCCACAGTTGGGGTGAACACCCATCCGAACAAGTAGGGTCAATAGTTCAGCATTTAGGCCTAACAAGAAAAAAATCTTTAACCCAACAAGTGCTCTCCGAACCAAGCTAGATAGTCTCATATCACCTTGGGGTAAGCCTACCAAGGCATAAATGAGTTCATACCACGACGATTTATAAGGAATAGCAGTTTTGTTGATGCATTCCTGTTGAGAATGAAGAAGAGAGATCTTCTATTGAACAAGAAAACTTTAGTAAAAGAAACTTGATGTGGAAGTGTAGACTTAACAAGAGAGGGGGAGACTGGCCAATCTGTTTGCTCCACCCATTCATTAAAGATTAATGTTGTTCTCATCAAACACTATAAACTAGGAAATTAAGACTCTGGTAACATTTATGCATTAAACTCTGAGAATTCAACTACAATTTTATTTCATTCGAGTGTTGTCGGGTATAAGTGCATTTAGTTCATACATGTAGAGTATGTTGGTATGTATGCACATACATATAAGGGAAATTGTTAGAAACGTTATTTCATCAGGTTGTGGTTACACGATGAAAGAGAAATGCTTCGTCACCCAAAAGAAACCTCAAATTTTGCATTCCAAATTAATTGAGATTGTGGCAACTGTTGGATTGTCAACGACCTCTAACCTTGCAGCTTGTTGTTAATTAGCTCCAAATAAAATTACTTTTCCTTTATTTATCTTGGAAAAAGCTTATCGAGAGACAGAAAACAACAACAACAAAAAATTGAGGTAGCACCTTGATTAGAGCTTCTAGGTCCAGAATGGTCATGGGAGCTCTTTCTTCTTCTCTCATTGTGCCCTGCCAATCTCCTCCTGCAACTCCTCTTTGCATCATCAAATTCTGACACTGCATGAAACCTACACCCACCCACCCACAAGCACAAGCCCATCAATCCATACCACTAAAGCAAGAAATGTAAATACACACAGACACAAATTCATAAGACAATCCTATACATATTTTCCAAAACCACACGAAATCATCACGAAATTAACTAGTTCAGTTTCGTTTTAAAAGATTCATACAAAAAATGAGTAGATGTATTAAACCCATCAAAATTAAAAACGTGATACGATTCTTGTTAAAAACGATACTATACCCATTAAATACAACTTCGATATAAGACATAAACACAACAACACAAACCAGGCTATACTGGTTTATACATGGGTAGAATATAAGTTGAATAAATTTTGACATAAACATAATGACCATGGACAACCCCACACATACTCAAAATTAATAATTATGCCTTTTTTTTTTTGAACTGTAATAATTATGCCCTTATTCATACAAAAAATGCAGTCTTTCTATACATACATGAACAGTACATATGTTCTTGCAATAATATATACCAGAAAGAAGCAGCAAAAATCCAAAAAAATACAGGAACAGCGAGTACAATATTGTACAGTTCAGAATAAGTGAAGAAGAGAGAGAAAAGGGAGTACCAACCTGCTACATTGTTGACAGAACCGTTGCTCTAGCCCAAGTACCACAACTTTTGGAGCCTTCGAGTGCATTTCACACACCTTATGCCTCCTGTGATAGTCCTTCGCGTTCAGCAGCGCTACGTGGCACCCCTCCACCTGACACCTCGGCACCGCCGGCGGTGGAGCAGCCACAGTCACCGCAGCCGACGTAGATGGACCCACAAGACCACCACCACTGCAATAGGGTTTGGATCTTTTGGATGAGGAGAACCCAGCTGCCACGTGTCGATCATCCAGAGGGGTTGCATCCTCGAAGTAGTGCCTCTTGCCAAGTTCCAAGCAGGTAAGGTGTGGGTCCGGTGGGTATTGGGACCCCCCGGCGTATAGAGAACAAGAAGAAGAAAGATTGGCATTGTTCACCTGGTCGGAGAACATGAGCGCGTGGACTGCACTCTCATCTGGGAGGGTTGTTGAATTGGCGGAGACAGGCGGTGCCGCGGCGGTGACGGAGGTGGTGTTGTCTAGGTTTAATGAGCTGTGACTATTAGTCCAACCAAACCGCGGAGTACCAAGCCCCCAAATGTCCCATGCAAGGTTAGTGGAATTACCATTCTGCCCTCTGACACCATTGGTACTGTTGTTGAGTAAGTTCCAACCATTGTCCATTTTTGTCGAAGAACTCTCTCTCTCTCTCTCTCTCTCTCTGGTGGTGGTACTTGGGGATACTTGAGAGCTTGGTGGTTGGCTAGCAGGTTTTTGTTTACACTATGGGGCAACAACGCAGCATATCAGCAAAGATCTAGATGTTGTCTTGATAAAAGAAGGAAAGATGCAGAGAGGAGAGAGAGTCAGAGAACAGAAAGGGTATGGTGTAACTGTGTTCCATTCCAATAGGGTTAGCTGCTTAAAGAGAAAAGCTGCATTGCTGCAGAGAAAGAGAGCGAGAGAGAGAAACAGGATAACCCAATGACAAAAAGTTGGCACGTGAGAGGTTTGTAAAAGCACGTGAGAGGAAAAGGCTGAGACAAGGACTGGGTTTTGAAGTGATCTGATTTGAAAGTCGGCTTTCAGTGCGTGAAACGTTGATAGTCAATAATGTAGAGAGAGAGAGAGAGTAATAAGAGTGGCGGAGATCAGTAACTAGTCAAGTCTAGATGGACAGATGCTGCAAATGACTCGAATAATCCATCAGTGAACTAGTTTTAGACACTAACCAAAAAAAAAAACACTAGGAATAGAGCCGTGCATAAATATAAATTTTGTTATTATATAATATGATTTGTGATTTAAAATAATATTAATGTTTAATTTAAGTTTTGATACATTACAACGAATATCAAAATTATTAATTAATACATATGGAGGTTTTCTAAGATTGTGCTCAGTGCATTCGATGAAAATGTGTGGACGGACAATAGAGAATTGACTCTTGAGATTTGTATTTTAAATTTTTGAGTGAAATTTGTAGGGAGTTGTATATAAGTATAAATTTTAGAACTTATTTTATCTAGTGTATTTCAAAAATTGATATAATTCAATGTACAATTTTTATTTTGACAGTATTATGAAGTGGCTGGTAGCCTCATGTACATTTGATACCCAGTGGCCTTTCAAATTGTTCAGAAATTGTACGTCGGAAAAAGCTCATTTGGTTATGAAGCCATAAAACCCTACTATACTAGATTAGGTTGCTCATCATCTGATCATAATATTCAATGGAGGAGAGAGAGAGAGGGAGTGTGTCTTCTTTAACCCTTCTGTATATTTCATGTATGGCTCCACACCACATGGATTTAACATGTACTTGCATCTCACATAGAATAAAAAAATTAATCTTTTGGGACCTGCCAAATAATAGATAATGTACAAATATAATTATGATAAAAGATTTAAATTGTAATTTGATCAGCATAACCGTTATCTTTTGATTCAAATACTATTTATTATAATTTCGAAAAAAATATTTAATTATTATATTTTATTTATTTGATAAAAATATAATGTGTGTAAAACTTTTTATTTGAATTTTGTTATCTTATTTTATTATTATCAAATAATACTGTAAAGGAAAAAAATGTTTGAATTTAATTAATTATCGTCATTAGATTTATAGTGGATTTTATAAATAATAAATTTATAATTAAATTAATGATAATAATTATTTAAATTAATAAATCAGATTCATATGTTTATGATTTATGAGTTTGAAAAAGTAGCACTAGTGACACAAGTGCTAAGGCGTAGCCATACAAGTGTCACACGAGTGGGCCCCATTAAAGATCTTCCATTACAACATGGAGATTGGTTGAGAGTGACCACCCTCCTACCAAAATAACAATAAAAGAGAACTTACCTTTAGTTAAACAAAGTCTGAGGATGCTACTTTTGTAAATAAGTGGAAGATGAGGGTTGTTTCATTGCACTTGAACCATCTTTCTTTTGATGGAAAAAAGTGAGACAATGAGATCTGATGACAGAAGGGAATGCAAATTGTAAAAAAGATGTGCTCAGATCAATCACTATCTATTTTGCTTTTTTTTTTGGGTGGGGGAAATACTAAATATAAAATCAGTAAAAGGATATTACATTATTTATTATTTTTACATTCAACAGTTACCAATTAATTAAACTAACCCCTTTATAAATTTCCCTGGTGTTGGACCAAAACAGAGTTTAGCCCTCGAGATTAGAGATTTGAGGTTGAGTTTGAATCCGTGTTGAGTAGAAGTGTGAATTTTTTTCGTTAACACGAACTCGATCAAACACAAATTTTAAAAATAATACGATTAATTGATACGAATAATAAATAAGTTAAATTAAGATTCGACACGAATAACACGATTAACAGGTATTGTAAATGAAAAATAAGTATTTAATGAGTATTATAGACAAAAAATAATTTTTTTTTATTTTTTAAATAGTATTATATAGATTGTTATCGAAGTAAATATTTTTTTATGAACACCAATATTAACATGAACGAGACAAATACCAAAAGTGGCATGACACGACATAAAAATAACACGATAAAAAAATGACACGGTACGACACGGTCGACATCCGTAAGAGTTGAAAAGGTGTTCCGGTGATGGATGGGTTGTCTCTTACCATCTAAGCGTGCATTTCCTTCTCTTATTACTCGTGCATACTAGGCCTTAAAAATTTAATGACGATCAATCAATTTTGATATGATACCAAAATTTTTGTTTTTTGTGATATGTTCGACATATCCCGATAATAACTTAACAGCTTGTGTGAGGAAAATTTTACAAATTTCAAATAAAATTTAAAAATTATAGCTCAAATACATATCATCTCATGGACGATCGAGTTTTATTGAAAAAAATTGATAGGACTCACTCATCAAACAGATGATAAACATTTGAGTTATAATATTTTTAGATTTTATTTGGGTCGTGTAGCCTTTACTCGTGTAATATCGCTTTCTTTCACAGTTCTGAAGGGGAGTAATTCATATGCTCCTTTCAAGCTACTTCATATATGCTTGGGTAAATTACTGGGGATGTCAGTGTATTTTTTAAAAATATAAGGTATTTCCCTATATTTAAGGCATTTGACAGAAGGTACTCAGTTGGGAATGGAAGGTGAGGGAGGGACTTTTAGCAATCTTCTCTGCCGTATAAAGAAAAGGCTGCTGTTTATTATCTGGCACTGATACTACTGTTCAAGGTGGGGAAGATAATGGCAATGCTGTTTCGCAGGGGCACTTTGTAAATGAATAAAGTTATTTGAATTTAAAAATTTGATATAATAGTATGATTTCATATAAATTATTAGATTAACATCAAGTTTTAATATTTGATGAAACCTACAGTCAACCTAAAAGTCAAAAAGAATTATGTCCCAATAACATTACTCTTTCTAAATTAGCTTAAAACAATTTTATCCTATTTTTTTGTCTAATTTTCGAAATGCTCCTTGGTAAATCATGCATTTTTTGGATACTACGATAATGAATTTTCAAGTTAGTTTATACGCATCTTAATTAATTTTTTCTTTAGTTCGGTCAAAGACCATCTACTTTAAGATTAAAAAATTTATTAGAGATAAACCCCCCTTAGTTTAGTTCTAAAGAAGTTGTCAAGTTCTGAATTTAGGATGTCTCGTTTATAGCTCTCTTGGTATGGCTAATAATTGAGCCAAATTTTGTGAGTTCGAGCCGAGTCTGTCAAACTCATTTTTTCAAACGAACATAAAAATTGAACAAATTCGGCTCGTTTAGAAACTAGCCAAGCTCGAACTGAGCCGAACTTAAACCGAATCTGAATAATTTGACTATTTTATATATAATTGAACCTAAAAAATTATTTAAACTCAAATTTAAAGCGAATCAGAATAACTCGATTCAATTATCAACGCAGCTCTTAGGGTTGTAATCACAGTGAACTTATCTATTCATATTTAGCTTTTGGACCAAAGTAAATCTAATTATTTTTATTTTAACCACAATAAATTGTTTCACTTATATTTTCATTGTCAATTAAATTTTACATACTTGATAACTCAGTTCAAAGGAACAAGAGAAATTATGGAAGCCATTATCTTCTACTCTCAATTAATGCAAATTCCCAAAAAGTAAGAAGTATTGAAAGACTCTATATTATTTGTACCTGATGAAAAGGGTTTTTGACATGTGGATATCAACAAACTCCCCCCAAAATTCTCCCGTACTCACACAGTAGGGAAACTGAGAGACATGGGAGATTCTGATACACAACTATACCACATTGTTTCTTTTAATGAAACACCCAAAAGAATAGAAAGAGGAAAAGAGAAATGGGCATGAATGAAGGGGACCATTCTCTATCTTTATACCTCCTTTTTTTTTTTGTGAATAAAGAGGGGACCATTCTTTATAGTGATCATGATGCAATTTAGGCAAATTAGTTTGTACACACAAAAATAAAAGTTATTTTTCTAACTTAAGATTCACAAAAACATAATGAGCTAATTTTTTTGACGTAAATCTTGTGTTTTTATTCGTCTCACGTTTGGTCCACAAAGTCTTGTTGGTTTTTTTTAGTTCAAAACTGAGATACATTTCACAAAAAATAGAAAATAGTATTTAGCTAATTAAGTTTGTAATGTAGCACACATCTCGTGGTGGTTTCGCTAAAAAAGAACTTTTACCCACTTCTTGGGTGTTCAAACAAACATATTATGTTAAATTGATGTTCTTTTTTACGATCATTTTCTGTAAATTAAAACTGACGTTACAAAGAAATCATGACCGTTGGGCTGTTGAGATTTTTTTAGGGGCCTTCACTAAAAATTATAGTGTGCGTATACGCGCATGTGTGTATATGAGCTCTTTTGACAGCTAAGAAAAGCAAAAAAAAAATCAAGTAACAGGTCGGCTTTCGTTAACTTTGACATCTCGACATGTGGCCTTTTTTAATGGTCGTCTATATTGGATACCTTAATCTCATTACTTTCCTTTTTTTAGGCATACTCTTTTATGTTATTTCGATAAAACTCCTCACACTCGTAAAAGTTTGTCAAAATAATTGTTTAATATTCTTAAAAATAGGAAACTATTTTTTTTTTTTCAAAAATCCTAAAAAAAAGTAAAGCAAGCTATAAGATTCCAAAAGTGGATAGAAAAGGCCAAAAAAGATGAATAGGAAGACTTTTCTTATGGCCAAGAAAACTAATACAAAGCTTTTCCAAAAATCAAGTGGGGTGGGAAAATGAGATTCACTGAAGATGTTCCATCAAGGCCGAGTCAGGATGGACCCTTCTCTCTGAATGCTCAGTGGTGCCCTTCTGAACTTTTTGAAGGATTCCATATCATCCAAACAACTGTTAATGAGGGCCCACCAATTATCGGGATAGTTTAGATCCGATAATTTATATTGCAATTAAATTTTAATATTTTAACTATAATAACTCAATTAATTTATATTTACCTTTTTAACAGAGATAAAAAAAACACGTGTTTTTTTACGGAGACACCTTAGTAATTTCATATGTTGATCATTTGTGTCAAACCAAGCATAGGCACCTCAGTATATGCCTCTGCAGAGGGTTCATGGCTCATGGGTTGGCCCGTTATCTCAACGGGTCACTGAACCTCGACCTAGCTCATGGGTAACTTGATAGTCCAATTAATTGGGCCATTGGCCTGAAAATTTTAAAATTATGCCAAACTTGAAAAACTCAAATGCTATACAAAGAAGGCCCACTACCACAGGCCGAAAAAATAAACAATGGACCATATTGTTCAGCCGGGTTATCTGGACACTGTCAGTCAATGGCCCAGGTGTTGAGCCCACAGTCTGCAGCCATGGATCATTAACTGATAGGCCATGTACCGGTCCGAATTATTTATATATTTTTATATAAATATTAAAGAAATTAATTAATTATTTAAAAAATTTTAGTTGAAATTCAAATTTAATTTATTAAAATTTAATTAACTAAATTATTCAAATTGGATCAAAATTTTGGGTCTTTTTTATGGATTATTAATAAATTCATATATGAACCACGAAAATAAAATTTGACGGATTATAGAATCAGATTGGGATCGGACTTTTACAATTAAATTTGGCTTTGACTCAGTCAGAATCCAATTCAAACCCAACCATTGACATGTTTACTAAGGGCCAGGCCATCTGTCTTGCGTTAGCATGATGGTTTAAACTGGCTCAAATCTTTGGGGTTAGGCCTAAGTTTAAGGAAGTAATAGGCGCAAGGTTGAATACTCTGTAGAAAGAAAAAAAAATTAGGTCTAACTAGCATTTGTAATATTTTTTTTCTTTTGGTTGTGCAAAATAATGATCAGTGATGACCAGACGAAGCAACTCCATGAACGTTACTTTACGATTTTCACTCAACGTAGAATGTTCAATTTGAACCATAACTACTAATCTGGGATGGTTGAGTTCATATCATAGCACTACGGAAGACAATCTAGACATTTAACCCGTCTAACAATATCTAAGTCACATGAATTATTATCATAAGCAGGTTCGGACCATAAGAATGAAACTTTCATTCTACCCAACTAGGTTACCCGTGGTTAGCATTTGTAATTCAAATTGGCAGGGAATAGTAGTTATTTACTGACTCCTCCAAGGGATGTAGTTGAATTGAGTCTTCTACACGTCCAAAGGTAAGAAAGTCAGGCTTTTCCCAGAATTGGCACTTGACTTCTTGAGTCTCCCACACGTCTATAACAAACACACACACACATCAGAGAAAGAAAGAGAGAGGACCCATGGTAACCAGAGCAACAATGATATGTTCTAACGACCCAGTCACGCAGAGGTCCTAGTTGCTTCAGACAGTTGGTCATTGTTAACTTGAAAACGAAACAAAACAAAGCCACGTTTTGTCAGACCTGAAATAGCCCTCCCTCCTTTCTTCTGTACTTTTTTCAAAGTCCACAGCAACTTAAATTTGCCAACCTAAAACAAGATAATAAGTTAAAAAAAAAAAAAAAAATATATATATATATATATATATATAGAAGAAAAATGCATTAAAAACTTTTAGTTTTATGCTAATCCACTCAAGCCGTATGTCCCAGGTTATTTAAAATTGAATTTAAATTTGTCTATCACTTTTCTTTTCTAAATTCTGTTATGGGCAGAAACTCAACGTCCTAATTACATTATTTTTAAAAATTTAAGTTAATCATTTACATACAACGTAATCATTAGATTAATTTCAAAATTCAAAATTTTAGATTGATTGAAAATATTAATTCGTTGTAACTATTGAATCAACAATACATTCTAATGTTTGATGAAATCTAATTTTTATGTAACAATTATAATGAATGACGTCCCAAATTAGTTTGGGAGATTATTTTCTTGTTAGTTTAGGGGGAGGGGTATTTGGTAAACAAAGACAAAACAATAATTAAATCCTCCAAAGTACAAATTTACCCATGTAAAGGATAGGGCCAACCAAAGCATATGAAGATTCAGCCTAACTTCCCCATTATCTTTTGGAATCAACCTTAAGTCTCAACCTAATTATGCATCTACAATGTTTTCCTAGTCTTAATAATTTTTTTCCTTTAATTTATGAGTAATGCTATTTGAATTTAAAATTTTGAATTAATGATATAATTTCAATAGAACCATTAGATCAACGTCAAATTTTAATATTTGAAAAGACACACAATTAATTCAAATGCTATATTGAATTAGGTCCATAAATTTGATTAATTTAATAAATTAGATCCAATAACATTGTTGTTAATTTATTTCATATTCATAATTTCAACATTTTCTTCAGAATAAAGCTTTCCGTCCATATCTTCAACCTCCAATCCTTCCACCATAACCACCATGTTCCAATTCTCTTTCCCTTTCTTCTTCTTTCTCTTCTTCCTCCTCCAGCAGCCATGCCCTTCTGCCGGAATTAGGCCAACTTATACAGCCCCACAGGCCACCGGAAAAGCTGTAAACAACGCCACCTGGCATGAGTTTCGGAGATTCCTCGATGTTGGAAGAGGCAGCCAAGTCTCTGGCATGGCGGAGCTCAAGAAGTACCTTCATCGTTTTGGTTATCTCTCATTACAGGATTCAAATTTCACTGATATTTTCGATGCACGATTTGAACACGCCATTAATAGATATCAGGCAAAGCTCGGCTTGTCAGTCACCGGAAAGCTCGACTCCGACACTGTTTCTCAGATCATGTCACCGAGGTGCGGTGTGCCGGACACACGGCCGTCGTTGCATGCAACGAGACACTATGAATATTTCACCGGACATCCAAGATGGACACGCAATGTACCCATAAATCTTACATACGCATTCTCGCCGGAGAATTTGATCCGGTCATTGAGCTTGTCGGATATAAGGGAGGTCTTTAAACGCTCTTTTTCTCGTTGGGCATTGGTAATTCCGGTGAGTTTCTCGGAAACAGACGATTATGAATTCGCCGATATCAGAATAGGGTTTTACAGTGGTGATCATGGCGATGGTGAGCCATTTGATGGTGTTCTAGGGGTTTTGGCCCATGCATTTTCGCCAGAGACCGGGAGGTTCCACCTCGACGCCGCTGAGATCTGGGCGGTCGACTTTCAATCGGAGAAATCGAACGTCGCCGTCGATCTGGAATCGGTGGCGACACATGAGATAGGACATGTTTTAGGGTTGGCACACAGTTCTGTTAAAGAAGCAATAATGTACCCTAGTTTGAAACCTAGAGAGAAGAAGATGGATTTGAAGGTTGATGATATTAGAGGCATTCAAGCTTTATATGGATCAAACCCTAATTTCAACTTTGAAGCTTTGTCTGAATCTTACACTTCTTCGAATGATGGTGTCGATCATACGAGGTTTAGATCACGGGCATGGTCCACCTTGATGATGATATTGACATTATGGTTGTACTAAATATTTTCTTGTTAATTTCTTGAAATCACTGTATTCTATAGAATTGTAACATAATAATCACAGTCAAATTGTAAGAGGATTTGTAATTCTTATACGATTAAGTTCTCATAGGATCATTAAATGAATCGAGCAGCATGAGTTTATTGAAATTGTATGGAAAGAAAAACTAAATTTGTTCATAAGTGAATTGTAAATGAGCTAAATTCAAACAATGCATGACTTTACTAGAGTAGATTTTCCCATAACGGAAAGCTTTGCTTCGGTCACGATACAAGTAAACAACAAAAAAAGAAAAAGAAAAAAATTTTAAAAAAGAGATCTCGGGCTTCTACCCAATAAAATTTTCATAACGTACCAACCGATGAAAGGAAGAATCTCTTCAAAGGATAATTGGACCTATTAAAAATTTGACAGTTATTAATGGCTCGGAAAGAAAGTTGGGCTGGCTTGAACTAAACTAATTTTTGTCCATAACTACTAAAGAATGAACCTCAAATTTGTCCTCAAATATTTACCAACTTCTATCCCTTGTGTTTTTCTAATTGACTTTTTAGAAGTTTTAACATTTAGGGTTAGATTTCCTAGTTGATTATGTGAGTTTTGGATTTTTTTTGTTTATAAATTAACTATTTTGTAGTTTGTTTTCAAGTTCTAGAGTTTAAATTTACAAATAAGAAATTAAACTCGATTCAGATTCGAGTTTGACTCGAATTCTTCTACTGTTCAACTAACTCAAGTTTGAGCAAATATGTAACTTAGACAAGTTATAGTTGAAATAATTATAATTGTTTTTAAGCCCAATAAACTCGACTCCATTAACATTTTTTTGCACCAAGAGTTGTATCTATTATGATCACGTACTGAAGGAGGCACGTCTCAATCAACTGGTTAGTTGTGCACCTAATTTACAACAGAGAAACACCACCACCCTTTGATTCTTATCGTGCATGAGAAGATACATGGTGCATGGAGACTCACCTATACTAATTATATAAGTTGGCAACGTCCAAGATGGTCTCCACTTGTCATTCTCCCATTTTACGTGATCAAAATGGGCGGCCTTGATTTGGACAGTTTGACCTGGACGGCGGCGATTATAGACTATAGTGATGCGCAATTCATGAGCATAAATGGTAATAAAAATAAGTTCTAAACCAGATGTTTTGAATTTTATAGAATTGAATTTTAACAATTTTATAGAATCAAGACGGGTGATTAATTTATTTTTTGTGAATATTTTAATATTGACGTTGATGACTTGTCTTTGATCAGACTGACAAGACGATTTTTCTCTTTTAACATTCTCGGTCCTATATGGGAGGAACCACCTATTTCCCTGCATTCATTTGATTGCTTAGTATCTCTAACCAATAATAAGTTTGGTATTAATTTATTAAACCCGATTGATTAACTCCTCTATTCTAGCAAGAATAAAGGCTAATGTTTTATCTTATACTATGATTAAAGACTTACCACGCTTAGGGGGGGGTAACGTACTATGTTCGAAGCAGCAAGCAACAGTATGAGTAGCAATAACTACTTTTAACTATCCCGCCATTCCTAGTTCCCTCAATTTTTTGCATGAGCCAATCAAAAGCTTTCCCCCAATGGTAAGTGACTAAAAAATCTATCTTTAGCTCTGTAGTTCTAGCTAAAAAATCCAAAAAAACTAGTGTTTGACCACGCTCAAGTTAAGATGACTCAAACACCTTTGATCGTTAAATCAAAAAAAATTCATCTACAAAATCAAAGTCAAATCCCCCACACTTAGAGTTTAAGATTGCGAATTTAAACTTTATCGTTTCCTTAACTCTTGATATTACCATTTAGTCTTTTAATTTGTCTTATTTTGTTAAAATTATTGAGTGGGCCCCTAATTATGCATACTTTGATCATAAACCCTCACAATTTAATGGTATTTCGTTTTCCAACTCTTAATTAGACACCCATTTTGAAAACTCTAGCTCCAAATATAAGTAGTTTTTTCTTCTTTGACGGGCATGTCTCCATAAAAAAGTTCAAAAGCTTCATTCGCATGCTCAACGTGGCTCACAATAATTTTTCATTTTTTCACCGCAAAAATTGATCCCCTTAGATTCTAATTCAAAGACGTAATCCATTGTAATTTTTGGATTAGCGATATAGTTCAATATAAAAACTACTATTTCACAACCATTGAATAAGAAGTGAGTGTCATTTTTTTTTCAGGGAAGAGGAAGGGGATTTGAACTCTTAATCTCAAGAGTGCAAAGTTTTTATAAGATAAGGAGTACTATTGGACCAAAGGCCCGTCAGTGAGCGTCAATAAATACTAAAACTCACAGTTAAATCAATAACAGTGATTAATCAAGACAATAAATTAAGGAAAAAATTGGAAGGGGATACACCAATTTGGAATTAATTGTAAAAAAATACACAAAAAAAAAAATATAAGGTAAAAAATTCTTTAATTTTGATACTTATTTATTTCCAAATACATTATTTAAAATTCCTATATTTTCTTCTGACATTTATATCTTTCCTTGATCTATGCTTATTTTTATTTTGAAAGTGGTGCATTAAACATCTCTTAGTTTTATGAGAGAATTTTAATATTTTATATTTTTATGTCCTCCCTTGATTCATACGCATTTTTTTGAAAAGTGGTTTTGTTTTCAAATTATATTTAATACACTTTGATTCATGCGTTTTTTTTTTGGAAAGTTATTTTGTTTTCAAATTATATTAATATCCGAACTCCATAACAGTGTAACAACACATTTGCACAAATTATTGTACTATTATATTTTGTCAAACATATATTTTCATATAATTTCATTCAGAACAGTTCGTCTCTGTTTTGAATTTGATATCACATGCACAAAATTACTGAACACTGTTTTTGTTACAATGTATTGTTACACTGTCTTTGTTACAATGTATTGTTACACTGTCTTTGTTACAGTATATTGTTATACTATTATAGAGTTTGGATATTAACAAATTTTGAAATTCAAATAAATTGGTATATCCTAAAATAAATAGAATATTAAAGTTCTCCTATAAAATTATGAGATATTTAATGCAAAAATATAATTTGAAAATAAAACCATTTTTCAAAAAAAAAAAATACGCATGAATTAAGGTGCATTAGAGATTTCAAATTAAATGACTCTAAAATTCAGCACTTAAGATAAATGTCTTGTTACAATTTTTAGGAAAGAGAATTTTACAAAATGTGCATTTAAGTCTTTATATCTCAGTTATGTACTTTTTTCTAAAATATTTTGTTTTGTGTATTTTTTTAAAATCCAAATAGCATTGCTCTTCCAATATTTCATCCTCCGACGACCACAAATCAGTAGGTTCTCAAATTAGGTATAAATAACATTCTTGCTCGTTAATGTAGATGAGAAAAACTTAAGGAATAGTGCTTGACAACTCAAATGAAATCTTAAAATTTATAACTTAAATGAATATTATCTTTTGAATGAATGGATCTCAGCTAATTTTTCAATAGGACCTACTCATTCAACACTCATCTAAAAAAAAAAAATAAGCATTTGAATTATAATTTTAGATTCTATTTGAGTTGTATAGTTTCCAAACTTAATAGTCTGTTTGGTACAAAGAAAAATGGGTGGATGGAAAAAATGTGGATGGGAAATAAGAGGGAAAGTGATATTTTTCTTTGTTCGGTTGAAGAAGGAAAGTGTATAGTAATGGAGAGAGGAGGTGGACATAATAATTGCATTTGTTGAATTACCTTAGTGCCCTCCAAGTGGCTACTACTCTTACTCTTTTGGAAAAATGAAAAACACGTGAAGTCCACTTTTTTTTTTTAACTTCTTTCACCAGACAAATAAAATAATGTGGGGTCCACACTTAATAGGGTATTTATGGTACTTAATATATCATTTATTTTTTTTATTTTTCATTCTAAATAAAATAATTAAAAATTTATCTATTTCACTTTTCTATTCTTCCTATCAAACAAGAATTAAATAAAACATCTTTCTTTCCTCTGAGAATTGAAAGTTCAATCTCTCTTATTTTTAATTCTTTTTTTTTTTTCATCATTTCTACTAAAACATACCATAAGTAACCATTGGCATACTCGTGCGATAAATAGGATTTATTATCTCTTTCTCTCTTGCTATACCTTTGTCACCCTTTTCCCCTGTCCCACAAGGTCTAAATAGCATTTTTAAAAAATATCATGATTTTTTTCGAGTTTTTATTCTAAAGTATGCTCTCTTCAATTAAATTCATCGTACCCGAACAAACTTTTGAGAGTATAACTCGAAAAACCTTTGGACATGTCTTAATTCATGTTATATATCGAATTTTTTTATCGATGAAACTATTTTTTTTTTTTTGCCGAAAAAATGTGAATACGAAGAAGTTCTCATGAATTTTAACCTTCATAATAATACAAAAAATATCCTTAAAAATGGGCCAAAACAAAAAGTCAGCAGAGCAGGCCCAAAGAATGATTTGTGCATGCATGTTTATCCAGCAAAGGAAAGGGCCTTCATGGACCAACAACCTTCATGTATTTATATTTTTCACCCCCGATGAATCACTATATTCCCATTTTTATCTTCAATTTTCTTTTTGAAATTATGTCGTTTACGTTTTCAAAATCCTATGTTTACCGATATTCATATCCCAACTGATGTTTTTTATCAACAATCATCGAATATTAATTGCCCCCCCCCCCTCCTTATTTTTATGGTGATGGATGGTGCAACAACAGTTGATGAGTAAAATTTAGTATTTATAACAACGTTGTTTACAATTTATTGATGTCTCCAATAAGTATGATTGATAAAGTTTCCCCACATTTGAATAGAAAATGACATGTGCTGTTGAGCATAATCAAGTGGGATTAGTTGAAAAAAGGTTAATTGTATTTTTGCCCAAAAACTTTTTACCCTTGTCAAATTACCTCTTGATGTAGGAACACAAACCATTTCTCTCTCTTTGGACGTCGTTGTTACCCGCTTATTCTAACAAGC